AAGAACGAAAAGAAGCAAAGAAAGTGGTAATCGGCGGCGATCTAGCCAGCCAAAAGTATTGCCTCGCTTATTGGTTTTCATTTCTCCGAGGCGCGGCGCGTAGCGGCCAATCGCTCCAATCGATGCGCCCACGTCGGAACCTGAGTTATGGCGACGTTTAAAGAATTCCATGAGAATTTACGGGCTTGGCCGCCCACCGTCGCTGCCGCCGCCGTCACTGCCGCCTCGCCCAAGAAAGCGCGCGCACGGATTTGCATTCGATAGCAGCGAAGCTCACTCGCACACGTGCGCTTTTGCAAATTTTCATTCTACTCCGCCTTCAAGGATACAGATAAACCTGTACATCTCTCTCTCTCTCTCTCTCTCTCTCTCTCTCTTCTACTCTCGACTCTCTCTTTTTCAACGTTGCCACTTTACTTTTTTCATTTTTTTATATGCTTGTTTTTTTCTGCTGTTTCGTGAGGCAAAGCAAAAGGCTTGACGTACGAAATTCAATCTATTGATTTGCGCAGTTTATACATTTTTTCGATAAAAGAAACCAAGTGAAAGTTCAAATGCAGCATTTTTGATAGTTTGAATTTAAAAGTTTAATTTAATTCAGTATAATTGGCAAAAATGTTTGAAATAAAGTTTTCCTATATTGCGTACGAGATCTACTCATAAACAGTTTCAAGTGAGTAGTATTCCATCAGAGCAGAATTTGATAAAGTACTTCTAATTAAAATCTTTTTTCCAGAGAGCTGTTTTTAAAAAGAAGCCGAAAATAAGAACTAACTTTCATTTACCAGAACGTTATGAAATTTAATTATAAAAATATTAATATTTCACGTAATGAGTTTTCGGATTGAAAATTATTAAAATAATTAAATTACGCTATACCCGTTAAGGCAATAAAAAAATGATTTGATGAAACCCCTTGAACTGTACTTATTGCTACTTGATAGCAGTCACACGTAATTGGATTTATATAGAAAATATTTTCTTGATAAAATCTCAAGGCATTCAAACTTACAAGTCTTTCCAGCTTATGAACTGTATATTTTCGTACTTGGTATAAATGAGTCAGTATTCTAAATTTTAAATATATCGATGTAATGAAACGAATTTTTTTATGATATTCTGACTTACCGACAATAATCGTCAAAGCTCGAAATCTAAAAAGCTTAAGAAAAAAGGCATTTGTATATCGATCGTTGGCCAATTGTTTTTTTTTTTTTTTCAAAACAGTGCAAACAAGCCGATCGACTGCACAGGGTTGTATCATCAGAAATTTCATCGTTCCGAACAATTCAGTCCTTATTCTCGTTATATTGACATCTAAGCCATCACACCAGTTTGCGTACTTTTAGAACAAAGACGGTGAAAGAGAAAGAGACGTTATAAAAGAGAAATAAAAGTCGTAGCTAGCGACTCTCCCCTTTCCCTATCTTAAGCAACGCTCGGAGGCACGCGTCTCCTATAATACGTGCTTACGAGGCTTTTATTGCCCAGCATGAGTTGGCACCGCAGCCTGATTATGATTCCTTTGCTCGGTAAGCTAAGACTTTGCTCACACACCCCTCAAGAAAGAGAAAGTACGACGCGCCGCTCTTTATGAATCCTTAGTTTTTTCTTTTTTTACATACGTCATTTTGCATGACTTTCGTTTCTTGTTATCATTCAATGTCCCATGTAATGTAATTTCAGATTTATAGATCAAATGCGCTATTCTAATTTTTACTAGCGCTGCACATATTTGGAATTTCACATTATTAATGTAACTGTACATGAGCAAATGTGCATGAAAAAATGTACACTTTACAATAACAAATGTTTTGTAGAAAACCTACGAGTGCCTATTAACAAAGAAAATGTGGTATCTTAAAAAATAAATATTCTGTAAAATTTTGATAATAGAGATGAAATAAGACAGTTGAACACGCAAGATAATATTTAAGCTTTTTTCATTATTAAGCGCAAAATATCTTGAGAATTCGCTATTTCTTGTAGCTACTTTTTGTAAAATACTATCTGTTCAAGCTACCAAAAAATACAAATTCTTATCGCTACTTCATTTTCATCAGAAAGAAAATGAATCCTATTTTTTTTTATAAAATTCTTGATACACAATAACAAGAAAGTCTTTAAACGCAGAGTGATTCAGCAAGTATACGCTACCTTACATAAGACAGTTGATTGATAAAAATCTTAATAACACGCTTGAAATAATTACATTGTCGATGTCAGTCGAGATTGACCCTATTCACTATATATAGTAACGAAAATCTATTTATAATCTTCTTTTTTTAACTAAATGGATTTGGCCGAAAGTACACTGAGAGAATTGATAGTACAAAATTTTCCATAATCTATAGTAAAAATTGCTACAAAACATAATAATCGTGGAATGTACACTGACTGAAGTAAAAATTACTATCTAACATAGTAAAATTTACACTTTGGAAGTGTTATTACGCGACATAATAAAATTTACTAAAACCCATAGTGATTATTACTTTAAACAAAATACAGGACATTATATCGGTAAATTTTACTGTACGTACATTGCAATATTGATTGTTTCGGAAAACTAAATTTAAATGTATTATTTAATTCGGATTATTGTTGGTGACATTAATTTGAAAATTCTTCTTTGATGAAATTCATCAATATATTACTTTATGACCTATGAACAAATTATCAAATACCTGCAAATTATCAAATTAGCAATATGCAGTTTAGTTTAATGCTACTACGCGCGCGCTAGGAACTTCAATTAATCCAGCAATTTTTGCTACATTCACTATAAAAATTATTCAGATCATAGTAATTATTACTAGGTATTCTAACATATCTTATTACGCATTTTAATAATTATTATAACATATTATTTTTTATTATTTGTTATAATGAACTTTTCAATATCGTCATATAAAAATTATTAATTTAATAAAAGTCCAATAAATTTTATTATGACTCGAGTATGATCCACGGTTACTATGTTTTGTAGTAAATTTTACTACAACTATAGCAAATTTTATTGTAGCAATTCTCTCAGTATAAAGTATGCTCTCAAGATATACAACCGAATGAAAGAGGAGTAAAAAGAAAACTCAAAAAAGTTACCATATATCTGTAAGCCCGGGATTTTCGAAATATCCATCTTCGCAACTGGTAATGATATCGATTTGCTCACGTTCGCCATATATAACCAGACACGCGATCGTACATACAGACACGCTCAGGCGACTCGCGATGTTACACAGTTCTTCTCCTTGCCACCTACATTTGCAAGTCTCATTTTGACAATCGATCCGTTTAAACCTTATCCCCTTCTCTTTTATCCCCCCCCTCCTTATAGCTCAACCTAAGGATTAGCGCACGCCACTTCCAAGCGGACAATTATCACTGTCATTACCGGTTTAAACCCTTATCGACACCGGACAATCAGCATTTCCTTAGCTACAGAGTATTTAGCGCTTTCACTGATTTTTAATTATTCGTCATGCGTATAAATTCAGTAAATGTGAGCCGAATGATTCATTTACGATATTTTTATTATATTCATAAAATTAATAAAAAGTAATCATATAAACGCAGTGGTTTACGATGTGAGGAATTTTAATTTACATTCAATTCAAGAATAGCTTACGAATTTATTATATTCCACATGAATTTATGCTAACTTGGACGTCGTAATCAAATTAATTTAAGAATAATAGAAGTTAATTTTAAAATAACTTAATGATTTTTTCTGGGGACACAAATATGGACTACGTTTTGCCGAAATACAATCATGCGTATTATTTTTCGTACATCGTAAATTGTAGCTAAAGCTCGATCTATTTTCAATAATTATTTCTGTACATCCTACTTTACATATGTCTATAGATAAATGCAGCACATCATGGAAATGTACAAATATGCATTACTAATAAAACATTACTAAATTATTCCCTCGAAAAGTGAAGTATTTATAAACCGTAGAGATGTTAATGTCGAACAGCATGGTAAATTAATTTACGGTCCTGTAATTAATTTGGTTTGAATTAAAAAAAATTTAATGTGACCTGTAATCCAGTCTTTTAAGAATTTTAGTGTTCCAGAGCGCGCATTATACTCGGAGCTCATATTATATATGTAAATACGTCCATTTTGATGCAAGGATTTGCTTTTCACATATTTCATTGGATTTCTTCAGCCGTTAAAATTGCTCTCCCTTCTTCGTTATTTCTTCTTAAAAGAATAATGTATCTCAAAAAACGTTAACAAAATCGTCAACTGAAAATTGCACGTATTCCAGCCAATATTTTTTGCTATAAGTCATTCACAGCGTAGGTATAGAGTCACGCACTTTTTGTTCGCGCTTGCACGCTCGTTAGTTTTTGGAATTCAATCAAATTGAGCTTACAGCTCGATCCGTTTAATCCGTTTTTCTGACTAGACCACGTATACGCAGCTACATCAGAGCAGTCATTCAATTTGGTTTTGCATAGATCATATATGAATGGCAAGCTATGCGAGATGCACACCAAAAAGGAAGAATCACGTCAAACACAAAGTCAACGTTGCACACTGACTGGTTTAAAAAAAACCCTGGAGTAAACAGTAGGAGTTTTGAGTGATCCACCCTCGCCAGCGGCACGTGGCGCTATGACGTGCGCAATTACTCGGCTGAGAAATTAATTTGCAGCGAGAGAGTGAACGAGCCTGAGACTGACAGCGGCGAAAAGTATTCAACTGAATTTGAGTATATGGGCGATTAGAGCGTCCGACAACGACTATTTATAATTAATCGGGGAACAGGCGACTGCGCGCGTGAAAAAGAACTGCAACCAACTGTCAGCGCAAGGAGACGACCTAATTACCGGCTAGGCTCCTCGAGTTGCAATTAAAATCGACGCTCGAGCAATCGAGAAAGATAGAGCGAAAGAAAAATTTTCTTCCCCCCCCCCCCCCCCCCCCCAGCGAACTAATTACTTTTCCGTCTGTAGAGTAATAAAAAAAGTGGAAACACTCACCAGGTAGCTGCGACTCCACTACAGCAAAAGTCCAGCACAGATAGATGCCAAGGAACCAAGTCCTCCATCGACACGATGGCAGCAACATCTTGGTAATGGCAATGTGGTTGTCTTTTATCTCAATGCTCACTCATATGGTGGATGTTATGTGACCAAAGTATATAGGAGCCACTGGCACAGACAAAGCTTCCGATGTTACGCGCGCGCGTGTCGCGACGAGACTGGAGTTCAGTAGCTCTCGGCTTGCCGCTTCTATATCCACCGACCCCCACCGTACAAACTCGACGCGCGCAACCCACCAACAGCTACTACCCTCCGTCGACGACTGCCTGAATGATGCTCTTTTCTCTGCTTTTTATTTGCCGCTTACATTACTCAGCTTTCTTGAGAGAATGATTGACTGATATTTCGACTTAGAAAACCGATATCAAAGGGAAAAGGCCATTGTGCTTGCGGCAATATTTTGGTGAACGAAATTTTGCAAATTGTATGTATCCGGTTCTATTCAACGCAGGCTGCTGAATCTTTGACTCGGTCTCGGAACTCCTCAAAGAATCATAGATTTATTCTAGAAGATTGCCGATTTTACGTGAGATTTAATCGAATTGGTACTTATTACAACACAGATTCCTGAAAATTATGTCTTGCTTTGTCGAAAACTTTTTAATCGAATGAGCATTGCTGACAGTATCGGTTTTTTTATTAAATTAATAATATTCAAGTTTTTATGAATGCTGTCGATTCCACGAATCCAATAAAACTATAACCTTGAAATTATTCCGAGCATTTGTATTTTATGGCTGTGCTAAAATTTTCTGCGATATCTCTCACTTTAGAGATCAATGGTCGGTTATTGCTTCACTGAGTAAAAATATTATCGGGTAGAATCAAATATGACCCATATAGAATATAATTTCTTTGTTTATAAAAGTAATGATCCACGAAGCTCAAACGTATACGAAGATTACTTGTTGAAGTTTAATTTAATGTTCGTGCATCATAAGCATGTACGTAAAATTCGTGAACGTAAAAGTGTGTAAGGAAAAATTAAAAAAACATGTTTTTTTTTATTTTAGCTGTATCTCTTTTTTTGCGTGAGAAGATACCATTCATCTCCGTGAATGCGAAGGCAATCAAGAAATTTGATACGGGATTGGCTAGACATGCAATTAGTTATGAATAGATCGAAAGCGTCAGTCAATCGATACATCGTTTGACTTGCAAGTTTTCCTTATTGCCAACTGCAAGCTTATTAAACGTAAACTCTTACCAAATCTAATTACACAGAATTTATTTTTGAAGACCAGCTAGCATTATATATTTGTCTTTAATATTGGGCGTTAAAATTCATCCTGCACAACAAAAGTAACATTTACTAAATATAGTCATCAGGTGGGGGGGAGCTGTGTTAGGAGCAGCAATCAAATGAACGCGATCTGAAGAATAAAAAAAGTCGTAAGGACGATCGTCTGCAATCGCGTGCGTCCGATTACACGTCCGCGGTGGCGCATAATAAGAATATACCCCACTCCCTCTCTCGTCGAGTATGAAAGTTTAACTCACGCGCGTATTGGAATTGGCTGGAATGACTTGCGTGATTCTAGTCCGTTCGCCAGAGCGAGCTTTCTCTTCCTTCCTTCCTCGAGCGTTCTTTTCCACTTTTTTTTCTTCTTCGTTACTTTCGTCGTCTTCTTTGTTTTTTCCTTTATTTTTCCGTGGCGCGCACGAGCTACTCTCTAGCAGCAGCAGCAGCAGCAGCACGGGAGCGCAGTTACTTGACAATTTTCTCAATAATCCAGACGAACGAGGAAAATTCAGTTGCTCAAGCTCCGAAGGGGGAAGACACGAAGATGCGCGTTCTCTCTCTCTCTCTCTCTCTCTCTCTCTCTCTGTCTCGCTCTCTCCGAAAGAAAAAGAGTCTCTCATTCGTAAATCAAAGCTTGAAGCACTTGCCTTTCTCTCTGCGTGAGATGCGCGCTGCTACTAGAGGTCAAGGGATTTTTATTACGTTTCAGCGAGAAATAGAGAGAGAGAGAGAGAGAGAGAGAGAGAGACTCTGGCGAAGAATAGGATTAGTTTAATTAAAGAATAAACCTCCCTTTTTCAGACTTCAGAATTAACGTAAAACTCGCCCTGACTCGACTCTCCACTGGTGCTGTTGCTTTGTAATTAGCAAAATTACAAATATACTTGAATCACGCTACGAAGGATACATCTAACGCCTATACACTGACCCTTATTCTTCTTTTGACATTCGCTTGTTGGAAAAATAAAACTACAAACAACACCTCATTCGATTGTATTTATATGAGATAATTAAAGCTCTTGTCGAAGGTTATCAAATCTCGATATTGCCATTATTGCCTTTTGACTAAAATGACAAATTTTTCTGACCACGATAGAACTAGAACATGATTCAATTCGTGTGCAACATTTTACTTCGCAAATATTACTAAGAACATTCGAAAGATAATACTTGTTAACCAGCTCAATAAACTAACGGCCAAAATTTGTTTCACTTATTTGTAAGAAATAGAGGGTGAATGTACTTGGAAGGATTTACGCATCTACATGAAAAAAAAGTAGAAAGAGAAGCCATTAAAAATATCCTCCGAGAATGTGCAAACTTGAAATGCTTTGCGGGGTCGGCACATTTCTATCCCAATGCATTATAGAAAATTAGAATGGTCGCTCAAAATAAAAACAAAGTTTACTGCTTTGCTGAGATTCTTTTGATGAGAAAACGCAAGAGCTATAAAAATACCTATATAAAACTTGTTAAATAGTTGGAATTAATCCGCTTGATTAAATTACTGAGCAGGTAATGGACGGCGAGATACCTACGATGAAAGCTAAACAAACATTTTTACAATCCAAGAGTGTAAATTGCAAAACGTTGCTCGCTGCGAAAAATGTTAAAGCATACAAATGCTTGCAATGCCATTTATCCCTTTGTTGTTGTTGTCTTTTTGTCGTTTTCATAGGCAATTAAGCGAAAGCCGCACCGCGCGAAGCCTTTTTCGCCTTTATGAGATTGAAAAAGCAAACTTTTCTGTCGCTCGTTATACGCTCTCTCGCTGTGGCAATAAAAAAAAAGGGAAGGAAACTTTGAAATGTTCATAACTTGTTTCGCACAATACGAGCGGCCTTAAATAAAAAATGTTACGTCATTCACGCGCGGCTCACTCGCGGGAAATGTGTGCGCTAGTATCAGCTCTATAGGCGGGTAATTTTCTACGCCCAACTCGGATAGTTGCATTTAACGTAAACGCCCTGAATTTATAATTGGCTAAAAGAAATTGGATAGATTTTCGCGATTGCATGTAAAGCGAGCTCAATCAAATGTAGCTCGCGTTTGAACATAGGTGTATTCGCAGCCAGTCGAAAGTGGAAAAAGAAGAATCGAAACAAGTTTCTAGGAAGAGAATAGCACAATCGATGCAATTACGATCAATAGAGTATCGCCCAAGCTATCGCAAGCAAACCCCCTGTGAAAAGACACACACACACACACACACGCGCGCGCGCAGAGCTAAAGCTGCAGTAGCAGTGCACCAAGATAAGACGCTACATTATCGATTGAATATTACGATCTTAGTCGCGGCACCCGGGTGTCTGATCCTGCGAGCTCCCTTTCTCTCTCTCTCGCTCGCTCTCTCGCTCTGGCTTACGCATTAAGCCCTTTGACTTGCTAAATGGGTTAATTTGAATGTTTAAATTCTACCATCGCGCAACTCAATTCGCTCGGAGGTCTTTTCATCGTAGCCTGCATTGTGCTATCTCTCCTCTCTCCCGTCTTTTGATTCTCATTTGCTTCTCTATTTCCCTTGCTGTTCCATTATTTTCATTTCTATGCTTTGCACTTTGTTAGTAAGATTTCTAATTAATATTCGCCAGGCGCTTTACTAATTTTCAAAAATCGCATTTTACATTCGTCGAGTGCGCGCCAGCGCTCTCTGGGTATTCTTTGAAAACCTCGTCTGAATAAAAAACAAAGAAGCGCTGTCACTGTCTTTAATGCGGTTCCAATTTCGAGAATTCATTCAGAGAGGCAGCTCGTATTTTGAATAATTCGCTACGTCAGTGTGATATTTCATTATTTCTTCGTTTAAACCTTGATGAGCTTACAGTAAGGAGGATTAACGTCATACTTACATAATAAATTTTATTATAAATACCATTCGCGAGTACAGTTGAGCAAAAAGTTCGATGCCCCGCAAACTCGTGGAGGCAACTCTACTGAAATTCAAGTTACATCGGAGCAACGCAAACAGAATAAGATCTATCTCGAACAATTTTCGAAACTTTCTTCGAGCTCACAACTTATTATAACGAAGCAACAAGTGAGCAACAAAGTGAAGGTAGCCAGCGTCGGGCACATGAAATACAAGCTTGTGAATAAATTCATCAAAATACGTCGGCGCGCGCAGAAATGCTCTCGCAGAGGAATGAATATTTGGCATCGCCTGAATAATCGCCTTTGAGAGCACCGCCGAATTTCCAGCACCAAAAACTTTGCGCAGCGCCCAAGCGAGTTTGCGCGCGCAGCGTATGTCGCTCGCTGCAAGCTGCTGCTGCTGCTGCTGCTGCCAAATATCCAACAAGCGGCTAATTCTTGAAGAGCCTCACACGCGAGGTAGCATTCCTCGAGTAGCGGAATAGCGGAGGTCGGGGGGTCGCTGCCGCGTGCCTCGCGCATTTCCCCGTATCGCCTAATTGAGAAAGGACGTCATTTGCGCCCTGCGCGTTCTGCCATTTTAATTGGCTGTTTATTCCCGAGAGCTTGGCGCGCGCACACCAGCTCAGCTTGTTAATGAGAATTGCCAAGCCTGGTTGGCTCGCGCCTCTCTCGAGCAGAGGAACGAATACGATTGCTAAATGCTTCGTCCTCGTCGCCGCTCGAGCATCTGTCTTCGTGAGAGGTGGCGCGCGCTCACGTGCGATGGGGATTTCTACTGTTGCTTGCTCTTTACGTGCCCCGGATTGTCTCCTTTTTCCTTCCTCTCTTCATTTACTTTTATTGCCGTAGCAGATTGCGCACGAGACGGTGTTTGGTGCTCAAGTGGCATATACTCTTTAGCACGCACCGTCGTGAAGTTTGTAAAAATCTGGAAAGAAAGATTCATGTGTTTACCGTGATAATTTTATGAATGCTTGCTTTATTTTATATCTCGTATGTACGTATCATCAATTGCGCCTTTTTACTACTAACCATAATTATCGATCATTTTTAGTAAAATTTTCACGGCACAACCTAATAACAAAGTAAATAAAATACATTGGTGCTTTGCGAAGCAAAATGATATATTTTCATTTTGTTCTATTGAAACAATTTGCTGCGCTACTTTCTTCAAAAATGTAAATTTTCTCTGTCGTTAAATCAAAGTGAATACTCACTACTCGCGCAATCACAATTGTACTTTACATTTTATTAGTCCCTAAGTAGCCATTTTGCTTTGACATAAAACTTTCATTTCAACGCATTCACGAATAGCTGCTCCACACACAAAGGCCCGAGCATTTATCTCTCTCAAGAGTTACTTGTGTCAAAGATAATGTCAACCATCGAAATTAATTTCAAGCCCGTTAAATCGAGTAACTGAGAGCAGAAAAAAGAAAGTGACTTACTGTTTCTGTAACTGGCGATAAAAGAAACTTTCTTATCACCACGCATCATGCGGAAGAGGCGAAAAGTGGTGCAGCTATTGTGGCACATCATGTGGCAGACGCTGTGAAAAGTTCGATGCTTCATTTCCCGGCTGCTAGCGCAAATCGTCGGATCGCCATCTTTGTCACTGTCCTCTTGCAGAACTCCCTGAGCGGACTCTCTGTTGCCCAAGCCAATTACCCCGCAGAGATCGTCGCAATTACACGGTGGATCAGGTTCATCCGTCGTCGTTGTCGTCGTCGGCGGAGTCACGCATTCGTTCAACTGGTCGTCGGCTGCAGTGCTCGCAAGAACCAGCAGCACCGCTGCAAACGGCAACCTTGCGTTAAGAACTTTTGATCTTGACTAAAGGCCTTCGCTCGGCACGATAAACGCGCGCGTTTCTTTCGCTTTGTGTACTTATGTTGTCTCGCGCTCTCTGTCTCACGAGTCCGGCAAAAATTTTTGATATATACGCAGCTTACACTGTGGCTAAACCTTATCCCTGCGACGTCTTATTCTCATTTATTTTTTCGTATTTTATAGTTTACTTTTTATTGCTCAGCTCGTATGCGCGTTGAATTGCTCAAAAAAATTGTAAATAAGAAGGCACACGCATGAATTGCGGATTTGATATTCGAGAGAAAATCGACTTGAAGATAGCCAGAAATACTTACCTAAAAGTAATCGAGAACGAAAAAACGACATAATTTTAAAATTATATGTAGCTTAAAATGTAGCTTTTATTTAGATAATATTTTAGCGTTAATCTACTAAACGGAATTCAGCGTTTGCAATCTATCGTGTTCCTAATCTTGAATACGACTGCAGTGCTTAGAAGCCAGTCATTATTAAATCGCTTTTTACATTATTATCGACTAGTTTATATTGTCATGATTAACGTTATCGCTTTTACATATGAGTCGAAAGAGCATTCGATTGCAATTCAGCAACGATAACGATGTAAGATTACAGCTGTTAGATAATTCAGAAATAACAGTTACTCTAAATAAACATGTTCTATTTCGCATTTTTATTGAATTATTAGAGGAAAACATAAATTTACAATACTACTTACAAGTTTGCGAAAAGTATCTTTTGCGTACTTTATAATGTCTATCTTTATTATATGAATTGTCCTAGTCAATGCGAGTATTCGGTAATCCAAAACAATCAGCGAGCCCCTATATACGTTGAATAATCAAAAGAAAAATCACAGGAAGAAGGGGTTCAACAAGTTGTTCGTTTACCGACAAAAAACACCAAAAAAAGGGACGGCGACAAATTGGTTAGAGCAACTGTGAAGAGAACAAACAGCTTTTACATCAAGAGCCTCATAAATATTATCGTGAAAAGCCGAGGGAGGGAGAGAAAGAGCTCATACGTCGGGAGTGCTTTCCACAGTGACAATAATGCCAAAATTAGAGAGTATGGGAGTAATCAGATCTTACAAAAGTGATTTGCATTGGAACACAGAAAGGTCTTTTGTGACGAAAGGGGATTATTGTTAATCAAGAGCCCTAACACTTAATCTCTACTCACCCTTAGCCTTTACACACATAAACATGCATACACGCACACACACACACACATACACACAATATAGATATATACATATATATCGCGCGCGCGAGACGAGGGCTTGGAGCGTAAAGCTACTTTACACTCTCTCTCGCTCGAAGCATTTGAGATCTACTTGGCATACACAATAGCTTATTACGAGCTTACGGATAGTGTGCGATGTACTCGAAAAAGTAGTCAACACATCGCTGCAAATCTAGTCTACGTGATTTATTCACTGACAGCTCGAGTGCATACCACCATACTTTAGTTTTTTTCGTAGCATTCTCGAGTAATCTCACTTTTTTTTCGTTACAAGGCTTTGAAACATTTCCGAGAAATACGTTGTAAAAAGTTTATCAAACCGCAGTTTCAATTTGGTTAATACTTTTTTGCAATTTTAAGGCTGCTGTCTTCTCAAAAACAATCGAATTTTCTCAGACTATTCTTGAAAAACTAATCAATTTATAAAAAATTAATAAAGCACGAGGTATCGACGCCATTCCAATTTCAATATCCGATCACAAAATATCCTATTGGAGAAAGAGGGAAAAAAAACGACTGTATATGGATCAAAATTGAAATTCCAGTATAAGAAAGAGCACAAAAGCAAGTGGCACTCAATCCAATGAAAATCCATCAATCGCGTTAAAGTGCTCTAAAAATGAAGTCCAGGCGAAAAGTGCCGAAAGGAGAGGGAGAGATAAAACAGTATTTCTGCGCGCACAGCAGTTGCAATTTAGGCCGAGAGAGACAGAGAGAGAATCTGGAACGAGTGTTCACGCGCGTACACGTATATCAAACACATACGTGCACTTCTCTCTCCCCCGAAGCGCAGAAGATTGTCAATCAGCACGAGCCATCTAGGCTTGATTAAAGCGCCATACGCCGCTGCCGCTACTGCATTCGCGATTTTACGCGGAAAATGCCGAATGACGCGCTTTTTTTGCGCCATTTGTTTGCGCGGACAACGACGAGCGATTACGTAGCTCGCTGTACTGCCAGTTGATTTTTTGCTTTTCTTTTCTCTCCTTCCGTCTTTTGTCTTTTTTTTTCGCCGTCGTCGCCTTGCACCCTCCTATTCGCATGCGAAGGCGCGGAAATTAAAAAGAGATTGAAAATGTTGAGGTTTCCACGGCGCTCTATTGTATTGTTTTTGGTATTCCCTCGCACACTGGTGTTCATTGTTATTGCGCGATTTATCATGGACAAAACGGACAACACGATCCAGTAATTTTATTTTATGTACTTTGGTGCGCTGGTTTTTGCTTTGCGCTGATATTGAAAAGCGAGAAATCGCCAAGTTGATTGAACTTGTTCGCGCTGTTATATACGCGTAGCCTTATATATGTTTCTATTTAAATTCGTTTGAATAGTATACAAATGCGAATTCATCATTATAAGTATTTGCGGAAGAAAACTTTATGAACTCAACCAAGTAACGTTAATTAGAGAAGCGCGCAGAAGCTTATTTTTAGCAAAGTATAAATGTAAATAAAGGCTTCATGAATTCATGCAGCTGTCTTGTAATCTATAATAATAGAGTAATCAAGGTCAAAGTAATTAACGGTTTAGGATAATTAACGAGTGACTATAGAATATTCTAAGAATAATTTCTTAACATTTCTTATCTGTAAGTGCTTATATTCTCGAAAAACCCATGTTTTCAACATATTACTATGAAATTTTTACCACGAAGTCTCGCGTAAACTCGCTATACGATCTCCGGTAAGAAACAGTTAGCAATTGTTCAACGAAGATCAATAAAAGTGCTTGAAACGCTTCATCAACAACCTAGCACAGCATTATCGCGTCTAGCTGCACTGCTAAACGCAAACAACGCGCGCTCGGGCAAGCTTGGAAATCGAAAGTTGCCATTGAAGCGACAGCGTATAGTAATATCACGGAGCAAATCCGTAAACGCGCGCGTGTCGCTTCACGGAGCACATATCCGTACACAAGCTATTTTCATGCCTGGCGTATCGTGTGGTATTGCTTGCTGTCTTGCCTCCAGAGCTGCATATAGGGTTTGCGCAAAACGTGTCCACCCTCCTCTAGATATACCCAAGCTGCAGCGAGGTACATTCAATCAAAACCAATAGACGTCGATTCCCCGATTTGCTGAGAGAGAGAGAGAGAGAGAGAGCAAACACACATTGCGCAAATCGATGCCGCAAGTTTGATGCTCGGCGCTCGTGGATACGGCTGAATTTTTAATTAGGTTACATTAGCGTCAACTCTCAGCCAGCTCTGAAAGTTCAGTGAATCGTTGCTGATTATGATTTCAATGGAATCCGAGATCAGGGAAAAGAAGCGCGCATCTGTTCAGTTCTCATTGTTCTGCAAAGTGCCAATTTGTAGCCTCTCGTTCTTTAGTTTTTTCGTTATCGTTCTCCCCTCTCGACAAATCAATCAACGGAACATCCCGCCAATTGATCGGCCTCTTGACTCTGACTTCGGCGATACAGTCTAATCCGACCAGGACATCAAGCACTACCATAGCTCTCCGGCTCGTACACAATCAAACGAAAAGCTGATGCACGTGTGCACGCAGTTGACGCAGACGTAGGCGTCGACGTCACGCTTTCTAAAATACATCGCCGAGCAACCGCCGCACCACGTGCGTGCTCGATCGGATCGCTGCGCAACCCAGTGGGATGAAAAAAAATGACGCCTATGTATTCGTGAATGAACTTCTCGCCCCACGCCCCACCGATATCTCTTCTTTGTCTTTCACTTACGTCGCATTAAGGAGAGAGAGGAAGGGGAGCACAGTACGGCTGTCTGCGTGCAGAGGATATCGATTACGAATATGCGGGAGAGATGACACGTGCTGCTTGCAGCATCGCACCAGCAAACGCATGCTCGTGACTTGCAGACCACTCAAGGTAACAAGTTTAGTGTTAGAGAGTCTGGTGATGACGCCACTCGTGCAATCCGGGGGCTGTAGCGGCTATTTTCCGCATTTGGCTAGTTTGGTTTTTTCCTTTTTCAAGAAAATTCGGACGTGTAGGAATTATTTCAAGCGTTTCCACGAAGCACTTCGAATCTAATTTTCAAATTTTTTGCCCGTCGATCCAAATCATCGGACTCTTAATTATCAGTATACTCTAAAAAGTTGTTCTCATTTCTAAATATAAAATAAGTAACACTTACTTTTCACTGTATTTATCGGAAAGAGGGAAACTTCCTATACTGTGTAGAATAATTTGTGGTTGTCTTGTATATGTAAAATTAAATACATTAACGTTGCTGCATTGTAATTATAAATGCCATTTCGCGATTCGTTGATTAGAGGTTGCAAGCTCATTCGGCTAGAGATAGATATAGCGAAAGTGTGCCTAGGCGATGAGTAACGTTCATTATAGAAGCATTAACTGGGATAGCACAGAGCGCAAAGACGCAAACTAATCCCAGCTTGATAAAGTGGGATTTCACATATCGAAGTGCACGTCGGCTTTTGACTTTCAGAATCAAAACTTTCCATCGATAAATCACCAAGGCTGTCCTTCGTTTGCAATATCCCCGCGCGCACGAGGCTATTTCAGAATGGCTTCGTGGATCCGTATAGGAAACCAATGAACTTATCAATCCTAATTTTCATTCCGTGCGGATGGTAATACCACCTTTTCAATGTGTAGCTTTCTGTAATAATATTGAGAGTGAAATAAAGCGACCAAACTGACAAGCTTTGCAAGTGTCAATTTACTTGTTAAAGATTTTCAAACGATTTAAGCGGTGTATAAAATTTTACGAGCTTCGAGCGTGTCGTTTTAAATGGACTATTCATTTTACAACCTACTTTTCAGCATTGTAATATTCAAATTTCACATGATTTCATATCCAACAATACTTTACATAAGGTACGGAATATTACATTACAGCAAATAAAAACAAGAACAATTAAATATATCGATTTAAAAATAAATTTTTATCGGGTTGAATTTTACAAGCTTGCGCTGTATTGAAACTCACGTATATAATCGATAATATTGTTCGAGGAATGACAATATTCAAACGGTACGTCATATTTCTATCGCTAACAGTAACGTAATAATTTTATTTTCATTCGAAAATACATTGAAGAGAAATACGTGGAATCTTGACGAAATGGTTATACAGCACGTCTCCATAACCAATTGATCAAATTAATAGAAAAAGCGCGCCTGTGGAGTAATTGTTTTGCGTATGAATTTAACATTGTAACTCGCGATAAATTGATGCAATTAAGGATGTCTTTCTTTCCGCAGACGGAGTCT